TCACGTTGAGGCTGAGAGGCTAACGATAACGTCTAAAACACTTGTTACACTAGACTCCGCATAACATTTGAATATAACACGTTGCTTTCGTGTCACTTATTTTATATGCAAACTTGAACGCCAATAGTTGTCAATAACGAAGCGCATCCGTGCAGAGCAGAAGTTCGTTGTTCAATTAGTATTTATCGCAATTAGGCTTAAATGTAAATCAAAACGCTGAAGATTCGAGTAATTTTAAGAATTATTTAGTACTGCATTATGCAATTAGTAAACAAGTACTGCAGCAACTAGCCTGAGTTCGGAATCTTAAACATTATTGCAAAAACAAGCGGCCGTGCATATAAAGGAATAAAATGCAATACTACACATAACTAAAAGATTATGCTCTAAACGTTACACAAATTCAGTCTCTACGTCGACGTGGTGGAAACAGCGACGATTAAAGTACCATATCACGTCAGAACGAGGCGTGGTACAGTGTATTCTCTTCAGTGGGTAAGACAGTCGTGTACGCCTGCAACGAACTAAGAAACCTTTGGCACCGCAAGCCGGAGATCAACAGGTCTCGACATGTCTGTGACACAAATCTCTCTAGAAAAAAAGCTTGGCGAAAAATCTGAACAGACGGGATGAGGTCCACCACCTATGCTCTCTTCTGGTAGTGCATATCATAAAATCTACAGAAATAAAGAACGTACTTACTCCAAAACCTGACAAGGCTAGAAAATGATATGAAGCAGACCGGAAATGTTGCTTCGTACTATAAACTTGGCACATTCCTTGAATATTTTGCTTAAGCTCAGATGACGACTACGTCCTAATCATCACTTGCGCCAAGCTGATTATAGACCGCTGCGCCCTCCAAAAGGGTCCTCCGGCCAAGGCTCACGCAATTCCGTGTAACTGTTCTTTTCTATATTCTCTTCTTATTGCAACAAAAGAGACTTGGAAGATAGAGAACAGCCGAAAGTTTGATTATAACAAACACGCTACATACATTCTCTGATGCGTACCAGTTCTCTAAACCGAATTTCTTCTGAAGCACATGTCGGATACTTGTTTATGCTTTTCAATGGTGAGCCGATTCGGTTAAAGTGACACTGCATAAATCGGCCAAATGCATCGTTTGGTGCAATCTGAAATGCACAAGTTTTAGTTTTGTATCGCTGCCAAGTAATGTTAATGAAGCAAAACTGTATATAAGGCTCCTAGATGAAACAGAGTTCAAGACATTTGCCAACTGTAGCTAAAAACTTTAATCTGCTCAGATGTACGCCAATGATGCAAACGCTGGACAACGAGGAAAAAACATGCGAATTACGAGCATTCGAAAACACAGGGTTGGGTCAAAGACGACTGTTACGAACGTCGAATCCAGCCTTTGAAGCAGTAAATGCGAGGATATTGACATTGAAGTCACAATAAACAAAGAAATACTTAACTAAACGTTAATCAATGATGCGCTACAAACGCTTTGCTCGAAAGGCTCGCTTATGTCCCTAGAAGCAGGAGCAGCAAAATTATCAAGCGCATATTCCGAGAAAGATGAGTCAAAACAGAGAACCAATTTGCTAAATTAAAACATTTAGTTCAAAAGATTCTCAAATTTAGTTAAGCTTAACAAAAAATGATTAAAAACATCCACGCCTTTTTCTCTTACTGAACAGTGAATATGTAGAGCAGAATACAAACCTGTTCGTAAGCGACAATGGCGGAGATGGGAAACGACGAACGAAGCCGCTGCAGCAAAGTATTGCTCCTAAATTGGCAGCGATTACAATCTACAATCCATTTAAAAAAAAAACAATAATAGTGCTTCCAATGTGCTAATTGTATCCATATTGCGTGAAACCTCTCTAACAAGAAGTATGATAAACTAAACGACCGGTTCGAACTGCTCGTTTATTAGAAAAATGACCGCAAAAATTAAGGCATACTAATGATTATGAACTGAGGACTGACAGACGCTACCGCAACTGTTCATCATTCAAACAACGAGATGTCGTCAGTAGTTCAGACCGTATTCACTGCACATGTTCACTACGGATGCGTTACAAGACATCACCTGTTAAAAAATATTTAAGGTAACCATACACTACCAGAAAGAACAAATCTACGAAATGAGTGAAAACTTCGGTATTTAATCAAGAATGTTTGCAAGTTAAATTGACATTAATTTAAGTTACCGGTCATCAGCCCGGCCGTAAACAAGACAAGCTTATCTACAGATTTCGTTCACCAGTCAAAGAAGTAGGCACGTGAAACTATTCTCGATCGTGTGTCTCGTTATTAGTGCAACTCCTTTCATCCGATGATGGCACGAGTTCAGTCGCAACATAGCATCACAGCACCATTAATCGCTAACATCGCATTTACCTGATCCTTTAGATCAAGAAAAAGGAGTCATATAAGAAAAACAAACGCCCAATATTCACAGAAAATTTTGTTTACCATAAGCGAGCAAGACGAGTGCGAAATCAGAGGCAAAAGATAAAGCTGGCTCCTGGAAGAAGTTCAATGAGATGTTGGAAACGAATTTCCAGGCGACAAACAAGATATTCCGAGAGATCATCCGCCGGCTCCGAGGTGAAAAGAAGGGCAGAATAAGAGACTTGAAGGACGGGTCTGGACACACTCCTACCGAGGACATTCTTCGGCGAAGCAGAGAGTACTTTAAGAAAATCTTTTACCCCGAGCAGTCGCGGGAAGAAGCACGGAAAGGATATTACAATTTTTGTTGATGAAATCATACACGATGTGAAAAGCTTGAAAAGTGGAAAGGCAGCAAAAATTGATGAAATCCGCCCTGAAATGCTCAAAGCAGTAGGTTAACAAGGCATATGCTGGCTTACACAAGACTGCCAAACTGCGATGACTACGAGGAAGACACCAGCGGACTGGAGAACGGGAGCTACTGTACCTTTATTACAGAACGGAAATCACAAGGGATGCTTCAGTTGCAGAGACATTACAGTACTGAGCCTCCCAGGTAAAGTCTACGCAGATGTGCTAGGAGATGCCGAGGAATAACTGACTCCATGGTAAAAAAGAAGTAGTCTTGCTTCCGGCCCGGTCGAAGCATCTCTGACCAGATGTTCACTATACGCCAGATTGTTGAGAAACCGTAGGAGTGATACATTTGTTGACCTGGCGAAAGCCAATGACCGGATCCAGCGCAACAGACTGTGGGCATGCCTGTGAGCATAACATACGGGATAAATAGCCAGCTTCTACGGGCCATCCAATCACTGTATTCTGATAGCAGGTGCTGCGTCAGAGTAAATGGCGTTAAGTCAAGACCTTTAAGAGCTAGCAGAGATCGGTGCCAATGGTG